GGTGCCCGGTATCAACAACATCACCGACGTGGTTCATGAAGTCTACGGAGGAGAAAGGCAACTCAGCCGAGTGCATCACTCGGCAGGTAAACACTTGTCGTCCCCAATAATCCATTGGCTGATGCAATGACATTTCACTAGAAGCCAGGGTTTGATTCAAAGAACAAGGCGAAAGGAACAGTGCTGGTGAGCTCAAAATCGAAGTAGTAAATTCCCATTTGGCATTACTGTGAAAATGTATTCATCTGGTTGAGGTGGATCCACCACAGGAGTAAACCGAACAGTCATGTTTTTAGCGATGGTTAACTCGTGCGTTTCCGGTTGTGGCACCACGTTACTTTTGTAAGCGGCTCTTCCGACCAGATATTCGGCTTAGAAGGAATAGCGGCAGACTCTTCCAGTAAATTTGTAAAGCAAGAACAAATTTTGTATTGCTTAATACGAACCTGATGGAACAAAGTATAGACACGCATAAGGAATAGAATTCATTTCGTGGAATGAAAGTGTTTTTGTAAGGTTTAGTTCCACAAAAGGATCATGCATTACCGGTGACTGACGTAGGGTAACGTTGACATCTAGGACTCAGTCAAGGGAAAATTATTTTGATAGTGATCAATTAATGAAAACAGCTTTTTCAGGATTGAAACTTCGTCCGTCAAACCTTTCACTATTTACCTTTGTCAACAGTCCACTAAATCTAGCCTTTGTATTTTTATCTTGAATGACAATGACTAGTCTATCTCGCATTATTTCTTCCGTAAGAGTTCCATACTGAAAGGATGATGCCAATTTCTTTAATCGATTGACAAAACAGTCAACCGTTTCGTCGGGTGGTTGACGAAGAAATAGTAACTTCACCAGAACCAAAATTAAGATTCCGAAAAATCTGCAGGCACTCTTTTCCCATAACGGAACGGAAGGTTGTTAACCTTACCGTTTGTTTCTTTTGATCTAAACTAGTCGCTACTAAGTAATTAGAAAAAATTCCCAATTACTCGGAATGTCCCCACGACAAACCATTGCTGCGTTGTACAGGGAAATTTGTAGGGAAATTGTATATCTGAGGCGGTGGGGGAGCGTGTGGACCGGCGGAAACAGCCTGTGGAGCTGGCGGCGGAGGGGCTTCTTCAGTATCTAACATCATTTCGCTTTCCACGCATGTGGTCGATGAAGGAAATTGCCTTACGTAACGTTTGCTTCAGTGGTTTGGCTCCGCTTTGCTCCCAGAACTGCTTGAACGGACTGGAAACCTAACTAGTCAATCGTGTGCATTACAGCTCGCTTTAAGATTTTGAAAAGATCCCACTTCTGACGATATGTTTCGGCAAGACACTCATCAACCGTGAGATCCAAATTTTTGCTAATGGACAAAAATTCCTCTTTTAATCAACAGTAAATGTAATTGTACACAGACAGTATTCTCTAAATACAGTCATGAAAACCATATACGTAACATACCTGAACTAAGCAGAAAGAGTTAGCAGTTTGTCTCTTGTGAGGATTCAAACTTTACGTTATCGAAATTTGCTCCCAAGTGATTTTCTAACTGAGCTGAAAAAGATCGACTCTTGTAAGGATTAAATCAATCAAAATATTAAGTACTTCTATCAAATGCTTAACCAGGTGAGCTGAAACAGAAAGTAGATCGACTCTTGTGAGGTTCAAACGTCGCCTCTTCGCCAAATTCCTATTTTGTAGCCAGACGATAGATTGGTTGATCCTTTATAGAACTCATAAAACTATGGTTATTATTCCTGACTAAATATAGTATTGTGGTTGCTTCTAGAATGCTTTTTTATTAGTTTATATAGAAGCCTTCTCCATTTTGTTGGAATAAAACAGCGGGTCATTTTAAGGTCAGTTGGTATTTAAGGCGTTGACTTAGTGGGCCAATAACAAAACGTTATATGTAAAGAAGGCTGCTCAACCGTCGGGTAAGAGTTAAACAAGATACCTGTAAGTACAAGGTATTCAATTTATAAAAATATCTCTAAACTAGACCATTCAATATTAGCATCATTGTACCATAACAGTCTTTACATGTTTCTCACTGCTCATCTCAGGTTTCGGCAGAATCAGATCATAAGGTTTGGAAGTTCTGTGCGTCCCCCCATCAATGAAGATAATCATGATATTTGGAGATTCTGGTCGATCTCCATTTGCAGTTTTGAAAACTTCTTCAGCGACCATTTCCAGTGCTTGGTCAGTCCGAGTTGGTGCTCCCGGGTGATCATTCGCTTTTATTTCGTCAATAAATATATCAAGAGCCTCTTTATTTTAATACTTTGCGTTGTCGAAACTCACGCGAATCGTTGGTTTTCCAGCAGACGTCAGGATAGAGAAACGAGTTTTGTCGGTTCCAACGTCATATTTTTAAATGTATAATCGACTTCTAAAGCAATTGAATCTTTGGCATTCTGTCATTCACTTATCTCAAGTGTGAAGCATGCAGCAGTTTTTATGCAAAAATGAGTGTTATTCAACGAGCTTCTGACTTTGTGTCTTGTGTCTTATTAGCGGTTGAAGTCGTCTACATATTCAGAGTTATTCATGCACTGACCATGGTAGCTGTTAGATCTAAAGCGCTTGCCATTTATTTTTTTTTTGTAATTTTGTGTTTATCTATTTCGTCTTTCATTTCTCATACCTCTTCGTTTGTTTGTTTGTTTTTTTTTGTAGGTCTGTTCTCATTTATTTTGTCAATTGCACCTTTGTTTTGCATCATTTTCATACCGCAGCTAAGTACGCAAGCCTCCTATTCAGAAAGCCAGTTTCTAATTACCTTTTTCAAGTCAGTTTACCTAAAGTTACGCTTGGTATACTTCTCCGTCAAGAAGTTTTCTTCAACTTCAAAGTTATTCGCTTTTGCAGTTGGATATAAGACGTCATCAATATGATTAATTTTCCGTTTCGCTTTGTTCGTATTCAATTTTTCTTTGTATTTATCTAACTTAGTTATCTTAACTTTTATTTATCTTTTATAAAGATTCTAAGTTGAAATGATAACTCTTTTAGCTATTATAGTGACTACTATGGAGTATCTTGGTTTTACAATACTCAATCAATCTCGAGGATTTCTAGCTTCTCTTACAATGTGTGAGCGAAATTTGATGATCATTTTAAAACACTTCTTAATCAAAATTCCCGTTGAACAAATGTTTGAAAATCGGAGAGAGGTTTAATGGAGGAGGTAAACTTTCTAAGTAGTCTGGTGACGTCCATGGATTGGCAATAGTCGAAATAGCACTCTACCTGAATCGCAAAGTCTGTGTGTCTATGCATGTTTCTGACTTACTAAAAAAAAAAAACCTTCCAAAACTGAAGCGCCACGGGCGCCCTCTGGAAAATTTCTCCCCGGTGACCGGGGCCCCTAAGCAACGTTGGTACCTTGTCCTGTGGTTGTTATTTTATAGCTTGAAAGGTAAGTTACATTCATTTAAACCGGCTAAGTTTGCTCCGTTCCATTTCAAAGAGTCTCAAAGGGGGAAACTTGAAAATGTAAATCTTAGGGAAAGCTTAGGTGGGTTGGCAATTTCAAGGAATTTTGAATTATTAAGTCTAGTGATTGTTAAGAAGGATGCTTTTAATTAAGGAAAGTGATACTTTTAAGAAGTTTTGGTTTTTAAGGATAAGCCCTTTTTAAAAACATGTCTTATATTAATTAATGAACAAATTACTGATCAGGTGACGATAAATGCGCGTTGAGGCATGAAGTTGAAACTTCGACTACTTAGTGGTTGTTGACGTTAATAAAAAATAAGCCGAATAAGTTTGGAATGCCCGATTAATTTTTATCTATAAGTTTATATTGGGGAAAATCAGGCCCAGAGCTTAAATGGTGAGCATCCAGAGATTACAGACAGCACACTCTTAATTTCAGTGTTTATTTACTATCCCTGCCTACAATACTGAGCCATGACGTATCTCCTATTCCATTCGTTCTCCATTCTTCTGCTGGCGTAATAATTATTGGAAAACCAGAAACCTAAAAGTTAAAAGCAAATTGAAAACATTGGAAACACGGAGTCAGTAAATTTTGTTCAACATTTTTAGCAGAAGT